CTTATATACCCCCCCCCCACCACCACCACCCACACCCACCTACTGTTAGCACAAAAGCATTGCCATGGTGATGAGTGCTGGCACGTGGTGTTGCCAGGGGCAACGCGGGGTCCCAGTTATGCACACCTGGATACGTTGAACAGACAGAGACTCAAAAGGACGCTGTCATTCCTGAAGACAAAAAAAAAGTAGAAAACGAAGCATTTAATTAAACCTGTCCTGTCTTCATCCACTGCAGATCAAATACATGTCTGTAGGTAACCATAGCAACAGAAGAGCCAACTCAGTCGTATTACACCCTGATATTTACCAGGTGTCCTCAAAGTGTCCACAGCAGGACCCTGATCAGGACTCTGGATTCTGCGGTTGACCAGAGAGAGAATGGAGACCTGTCCGAGTGTGTTCAGCCCATAATGGTACCAGACAGTCCATAATGGTACCAGACAGTCCATAATGGTACCAGGCATGGGGATGGCTGTGGCAGAGTGGCTAGAGGACTCGTCCTGGAACCAGTAGGTTGCTGCTTCGATCCCCTGTCCAGCTGTCACATTTGTGTCCTTGGGCAAGACACTTCACCCCCAGTGCCTCTGATGTCTAACCCATCAGTGTATGGATGTGATTAGCTGATCTCCTTTGTAGAAGATCTAACATTTGCAGTGTGAATGGGTAAATGAGGACACAGATTGTAGTGTGAAGACCTTTTTTTTTAGTACCCTGGTTGGATAGAAATGTAGAGCTGGGCAGTACGACCCAAATTTTATCTCACGGTTTTTTTCAACAACTACACTGGTTTCACAGTATTTGTAGTAATTTTTTTCCATTACAGCTCAGCTGATAATAAAATGTACAAATGTTGCTTATTGACTATTTTCTTTTGCTGTCTGTGTCACTGTTTACCTCCTCTTGTACGTCTTTTCTTCTTTGCCTGGTTGTAGACATGCATTTTGGTCCGATCGTGAAGGGTTGCACACCAGTCAACTCAGCTCCACTACAAAACTACTTCCCTCGGGCTTTTCACAATAGAAGCACGTTAAAGTCTCCATGCATTACCGTCTCCATTATAACATCATGCATTAAATCTAACCATGCACGTCACTGAAAAGTTGTTTACTACATTCAGTAATGGTGAAAACAGGATGTTTTTTAAACTTAATATAAGCAGCTGAAACACCACCCACCGCCAGTTGCTCCAACAAGCTGCTCCAACAATAACATTAGCATGCTAATATACATAGCGGTGCTGCGAGGAAAAGTGTCCCTAGGGAAACAGTTCACTGGCAGCCACGACGAAACGTTCTGAATGTGTTCAGGCTATTTAAACCTGTATTTAAACCCGGTATTCAGAAAATTCAAATCATAACAATAATTAAAACCGGTTTTTGGTACAAAATGGTATACCGCCCAGAACTAGCTCTATACAAGTACAGTCCATTTACCATTTACCATAATGGTACCAGACAGTCCAAGATACCTAATTACCCTAATTAACTAATTTCCTACTGGGATCAATAAAGTATTGTTGAATTGAATTTTAAATTGAATTGAAGATGGTACCAGACAATCTAAAATGGTACCAGACTGCCCATAATGGTCCCAGACAGTCCAAAATGGTACCAGACAGCCAAGATGGTATCAGATGGTCCAAATTCGTACCAGACAGTCCAAAATGGTACCAGACAGCTCTTAATGGTACCAGAAAGTCCAATATGATACCAGATAGCCAAGATGGTACCAGACAGCCCAAAATGGCACCAGAGAGCCAAGATGGTACCAGACAGCCAAGATGGTACCAGACAGCCCATAATGGTACCAGACAGCCAAGATGGTACTAGAGAGCCAAGATGATACCAGACAGCCAATATGGTAACAGACAGCCCATAATAGTACCAGACAGCCAAGATGGTACCAGAAAGCCCATAATCATACCAGACATCCCATAATGGTACCAGACAGTCCAAAATGGTACCAGACAGCTCATAATGGTACCAGACAGACTCGATGGTACCAGACAGTCCAAAATGGTACCAGAAAGCTTATAATGGTACCAAACAGTCAAGATGGTACCAGAAAGCCCACAATCGTACCAGACTGCCCACAATGGTATCAGACAGTCCATAATGGTACAAAACAGTCCAAAATGGTACCAGACAGTCCAAAATAAAACCAGACAGCCAAGATAGAATCAGAGAGCCCATAATGGTACCGGACAGTCCAAAATGGTACCAAACAGTCCAAAATGGTACCAGACAGTCCATAATGATACCAGACAGTCCAAAATGGAACCAGGCAGTCCAAAATGGTACCAGACAGCCCTTAATAGTACCTGACAGTCCATAAAAGTACCAGATAGCCAAGATGGAGCAGACAGCCCATAATGGTACCAGACTGTCAAAAGGGTACCAGATTGCCCATAATAGTACCAGACAGTCTAAAATGGTACCAGACAGCTCATAAAGGTACCAGACAGCCAAGATGGTACCAGACAGCCCATAAAGGTACCAGACAGTCCATAATGGTATCAGACAGTACACAGTGGTACCTTTCATTAAGTTCTTCAACCTTCTGGACTCAGATTTCTAATAAAAAATAGTAAAAATAACCAGACTTTTGTTTTGTCCCTCAGCATCTACGGCTGTCCACTGGCCAAAAAGAGGAAGACTGTGGACAAACAATTGCTGGAGCTACCAGCCAAGAGGACGCCCTTCATCGTGTCCTGTCTGGCCAAGGAAGAGGAGGAGGAACCTACACCAGCAGGAACTTACACCAGATATCAGAACCAAGACATTGAGGCAAAACAGGGAAGCAAGAAGCAGGGGGAGGTAGAAGAGGAAGATGATGAGGAGGAAGATAATGAAGCGGAGGAGGAGTTCTCAGAAGCCAACGAGGAGCAGGGAGAGGAAGAAGAGGAGGAAGAAGAGGAGGAGGAAGTTGACAAAAAAGAATCCAGACGAGGAGGAGAGCGAGTAGAGGAGGAAGATGATGGTGATGATGAAGATGAAGACGAGGATGAGCAAATTCATTTTCAGGGTGAGTTCAGTTCTGATTTCTGTTGGTTATGCCCTGGTTCTGGTCTAGTTCTGGTCTCTGATGGTTCAAGATGAATTTGTCAGACCTCTGGTCTGGTCTGCTAAGATCTGGGTTTACAGAGGATCCACTTTGTTGAAATTGGACCAATTCACAGCAGACGTCTTCTGGGTGAAAGTTCTCTGCAGCAGACTGGGTCAAATCTTCACTTCAGCACAATATGCAACAGGAAGAAACCTCCGGAACCAGAACCAAGCTAGGCAGCCATTTGCCGCAACTGGCTGCAGTTTGAGTGGGCAGCCAAATAGACACAGACAATCACAGTATGACTGGTTTCTATGGTCCAGGTGTGGTTTGGGGGGGTTCTCCCTTCAGTCTCCTTATCAGGAGGTAAAATGCTCTATTGAGTTCAGGTCAGGTGATTGACTTGGCCAATCTAAAACCTTCCACTTTTTTCCCCTGATGAAGACCTTTGTTTTGTTGGCAGTGAGCTTTGGGTCATTGTCCTGCTGCATGATAAAGTTACTCCTGGTTAGTTTGGATGCATTTCTCTGCAATTTGTCAGACAAAATATTTCTGTACACTTCAGAATTCATTCAGCTGCTACCATCATCAGTTCCATTATCAATAAATATTACTGAGTCAGTTCCAGAAGCAGCTATGACGTTACCTGCACCATGCTTCACAGTTAGTAAATGGTAAATGGACTGAACTTATAGAGCGCTTTATCAAGACTCTCCAGACCCCAAAAGCACTTTACATTTACAGACATTCACACATTCACACACTGATGATGGCACACTACATTGTAGCCACAGCTCCCCTGGGGCTCACTGACAGAGGTGGGGCTGTCATGCACTGGTGCCACCAGACCCTCTGACCACCATCAGTAGGCAAGGCGGGTGAAGTGTCTTGCCCAAGGACATGACTGAAATGGCTGGACGGGGGATCAAACCAGCCTTGATTGGCTCTATTGTTCATAGAGGGTCATGTGCCCATCACCTGACTATCATTGGGGCCCTGATTCACACCTATTGCTCACAGGGGGCTGAGTCATACTTGCAATAACAGCATTGTAGGAGGGGGACAACTGGACACGAAGGCCTCCACCTCTGTTTAATGCTGGATGGGTTTTCTTCACAAAAATGGCTTCCTTTACTCCTCTTTCAAACCAACATTCCTCTCTATCAAGGATAACATATTCATCCCAGAAAGAGTGACCGCTGGCCTGTAGATGAGTGTAAGCTGCAGAGTCCAGGTTTGTAGATGAGTTTAAACTGCAGAGTCCAGGTCTGTAGATGAGTGTAAACTGCCAAGTCCTGGCCTGTAGATGAGTGTAAACTGCCAAGTCCTGGCCTGTAGATGCGTATAAACTACAGATTCCTGGCCTGTAGATGAGTGTAAACTGTAGTGTCCTGACCTGATGATGTTGCTCGTCTGTGTTGGCCCATTCTTTTGAACAGTGGCTGCTTTGTTTCCATGATGTATAACTGATCACAGTCCTCCTAGCACCTAACAGCATACACAACACTATGGGTGAAATTTAGCTCTTGTGCTAATTCTGGCGCATTTATATTCACAGAATATTGATTAATTAATTAATTGATTGTGCACTGTCCTTTTAAATAAATAAATGAAATGAAACATTACTCTATTTGTGCTGGGGACTGGATCTTTGGGGTGAACCAATCTTTGTCGTAATGGGTTTTGGGTTTTGAAAGGCACTGGAATGTCATGTTTAGAGAATAAATTTCTCAGTTTCCCTGAAACTCCCACAATATACGGAATGACCACTGGTTTGGGGTTTTCAAATCTTCTTAAAGTCTTCTTTAATCAAGACATTAACAACCTATTGTTTGGCTAATGGTCCTCTTTTGCATGTGACCAACCTGTTTGTCCAACATGTGGAGGCAGTGCTTATAAGGCTGAGTTCCCCTGAAACTCTTCAGACTGAAGAAGTGTCTTGGAGGAGAGACGAAATGTTTCATTAAAGAAGAACCTGTCAAACCCAGGACAAAAAGTAGACTAGTTATTCAGAGCTATTTAATGTTTGAACAGTCAACCTTAAAGGCAACACCTGGTCAATAAGAAACACCTGTCAGTCATATGTTCCAGTAGTTTTGCTCGCTTGAAAAATGGGTGGGTTCAGACAAAGGGTGGTAAGTTCTGAGTTGTTTAACACATTTACAAATAAATATTCGTTTCCGGTGAGAGTTGGACTCCGCCAAGGTTTCCCTTTGTCACTGATTCTGTTCATAACTTTTATGGACAGAATTTCTAGGTGCAGCCAAGGTGTTGAGGGGATACTTTTTGGTGACCTTAGGATCACATCTCTGCTTTTTGCAAATGATGTGGTCCTATTGGCTTTATCAGAGCATGATCTCCAGCTCTCACTGGAGTGATTCACAGCCGAGTGTGAAGTGGCCGAGATAAGGATCAGTGCCTCCAAATCCGAGACCATGGTCTTGAGCCGGAAAACGGTAGCGTGCCGCCTCTGGTTTAGGGAGGAGGTCCTGCCCCAAGTGGAGGAGTTTAAGTATCTCGGGGTCTTGTTCACGAATGAGGGAAGAATGGAGCGGGAGATCAACAGGTGGATTGGTGCTGCATCTGCAGTGATGCGTGCGCTGTACCGGCCTGTCGTGGTGAAGCAGGAGCTGAGCCAGAAAGCGAAGCTCTCGGTTTACCGGTCGGTCTATGTTCCTACCCTCAAGCTTTGGGTAGTGACCAAAAGAACGAGATCGCAGATACAAGCGGCTGAAATGGGTTTCCTTCGCAGGGTGTCTGGGCTCTCCCTTAGAGATAGGGTGAAAAGCTCAGTCATCCAGGAGGGACTCAGAGTAGAGCCGCTGCTCCTCCACGTCGAAAGGAGCCAGTTGAGGTGGCTTGGGCATCTGGTTAGGATGCCTCCTGGACGTCTCCCTGGTGAGGTGTTCCGGGCACGTCCCACTGGGAGGAGACCCAAGGGAAGACCCAGAACATGAAGGAGGGACTATGTTTCTCGGCTGGCCTGGGAATGCCTTGGGATTCCCCTGGATGAGCTAGGCCAAGTGGCTGGGGAGAGGGAAGTCTGGGTCTCTCTGCTTAGGCTGCTGCCCCTGAGACCTGACCCTGGATAAGTGGCAGAAAACAGATGGACGGACAAATAAATACCAGAAAATAAAAGCTGACAATCAGAACCCTTGTCTCATCTTTTGATCTTAAACCCAAATGTCTTTAGTGAACAACAAAAAGAGAATCTGACTTGTTCCAATTTGTTTGCATCAACCTTCTTTTTTTAAATAAAAATGAGTTTACTTTTTAGCTCTCCTGTGAGTCTGTATTGTTGGGTCCAAACCTCCTGCCACTAAGACATTTTTATCTTCTTCTTTCAGCTCATGTCCAAATTCATCTGATTGTAGGAAAATAACCAGAAAACATTGTTTTCTCTCTTTCTTTACACCAGAGAACCAGTACCAGCCCAGAGGACTATCAAAGCTGGTTCTAATCCAGAAGGACGACAACAACAACAACAGCTGTTCCCATGGAAACACCACTGGAGATGAAGATGAAAACTATGATGAGCTCGTTGCTAAGTCGCTCCTGAACCTTGGTAAGATCGCAGAGGATGCCGCCTACCATGCCCTGACTGAATCAGAGCTGAACAGCGACTCTTCAAACAGTGTTGATGAGGAAGATGAACAGGAGGAGGATGGCAGCGAGGAGGACAAGAAGGGAGAACTGAGTGTAGACCTGAACAGTGATGTGGTCCGAGAGACTGTGGACTCCCTGAAACTTCTGGCTCAAGGTCACGGTGCCCTGCTGCCTGAAGATGGATACCCTGAGAGCGGCATGATGGATGATAGTGTCCCTGCCGGTGGGCGTGATCAGGAGGTCAGAGGTCAAGCCGAGGACTGTGGGGAGGAGGTGTGTCTCAGCAGTCTGGAGTGTTTGAGGAACCAGTGCTTTGATCTGGCTCGTAAACTAAGTGAGTCGCAGCCTTCTGACCGTCCCGTCCTGCATGGTGCCCACCACCAACAGCTGGTAGACCAAAAGGTGCTGCAACACCTGAACAGGTAGGTCCTACCGTCTGATTCCTCTGTCCTTGTTGGGTGTGAGAACTCAAGTTATGTTAGGTTACTCAAATCCAAACAGTTCTGAGGGTTCTGCAGTTTGATGGATCCATGAAAAACAGCCAGCAGCTGGAAGACAACTGTGCCATGGTCCTGTAATCCTGAGGCTGCAGGTTTAAGACCAGGTTTTATCAGGAAGGACCAAAAACAGTTGCTAAATGTTTGGTGTGAGGTTGCTCATTGTGGCAAGCCCTGCAGAAGGGAGCCGATAGAAAAACGACAGCAACAACAAAAAAATAAATAAATAAGTGTAAGATTTTTATGATTGTTTCATTTTATTGGAGAAAAAATATATAAAAGGTCCAAAATTATTTGCATGTAAACATGACCCAGTTCTTGGTGAAGAAACCTTTACCGCTAAAGCATTCCTGTAGGTGGTCTCCAGCTTTGCCCACATTTTAAGGGAGATTTTGGCCCACTCCTTCATAGAAACTCTAAATCCTTCAGATTCCTTGAGTGCTGATTGAACTTATAAAATTTAATAATCAACCTTCAGTACCTTCAGCTCCTCCAGAGATTTCTGACAGGACTGAGGTCTGGAAACTAGGTGAGCCACTCTCTAACTTTATTGTTCTTTAAATGCTTCTCTAATTCCTTGGTGGGATGTTTTAAATTATTGTCCTGCTGGAAGACCCGTCCATGACAAATCTTTGGTGTTCTGACTGAGAGAAGAAGATTCTAATGGTACACAAACTCATTCACTGGTTCTTCACATCAACAAAGTCATCTTAAAACCTTAGCAGTAAACAAACCCTGGACCATTTTTAGCAGGAACACCTTCTAAAGACTGAACTGGGCCTGGACCTTCTTCAGCAGGAACACCTTCTGATGACTAGACTGTATCTTCTTAGCAGAAGGACCTTCTGAAGATGGACCTAGACCTTCTTTAGCACAAAGACTTTCTAAATAATGTCCATGCCCTGGACCTTGTTTAGCAGGAAGACCTTATGAAGACTGGCCTAGGCCTGGACCTTCTTCAGCAAAAGGATCTTTTAAAGAGGAGGAGACCACATCCATGTAGATTTACACGGACAAATCATCAAACAGGTTGAGTCATAATAAATGACCTGGACAGTGCATATTGACAGTGACCTGTCCTGCAGTGACAAGTGTTTGTGTTCAAACCCATCAGCATCTACATTTTCTCCATGGACTTGAGTGTTTGGAGTCTATAAGAATATTCTGTTGAGTTTTACAGAGCATTGATTCAGTGGTAAGATGTGGCATTGTCTGTTGGTCTCAGATATTAAACCTGCTGAAGACAACAGGTCAAATCCTGGCTACAGCTACTGGACCTGTGTCTTAGTGTCTTGTCTGACACCTCTCATGTTCTGCATTCAGAATGTTTTACTGAAGTCAGGTACAGGCTTTATGTGATCAATCGTTACTCTTTCATCCCTCTCTCAGTGCAGCTCATCAATGAGCGGACGTCTTGTGACAGAGTGTTTCTGTGGCAGGAAGTCAGGTCTGAATGACATTTACTGTTTGTGTGATGGGCTCATTGTGTAAGTTTTATGTTCATGTGTAATGTGTTTTTGTGCAACCGACACTTTTAGCCAAAGCCAATTTCTCCCAACGAAGACTAATAAAGGTACTTTGGACTTATTGACTGGTTGATCTCTGGGCAACATGGGTTAACCAGTCAGTGAGAACTTGAATTGTGTTGTAGCTGTTAAAGAACAACATCTCACATTGTGTCACTTCTATGAATCATCAGTGATCCTACAGGAACTTGTTTCTCTGATGTTTAAGGGTTTGTCTTTATAAAATCAAGGTTTGTGTTTTTGTCAGTGACCATTTTTATTCAGGATCTTAAAGGAACAGATTCAGATTTTTATCCCTCACTCTGATCTTGTTTCTCAGGTACAACACCTGTATACCAGGAGCTCAGGAAGAGCGCTGCTACTCTGACATAATGAACCTGATGAAGCTGGAGGAGCAACTGAGCCCGACCTCCAGAGGCTACAGCTGCAGTCGGGACAGTGACGAAGACACCTTGTCTGTGGCTTCAGACCGCTCCGATGACACCTTTGACATGGCCAAGGGGAACCTGTCTCTGTTGGAGAAGGCCATCGCCCTAGAGTCAGAGAGGGCAAAGGTCATGAGGGACAGGATTACTTTGGAGCATACAATGCCCCATCGAGACCATCATCATCATCATCGCCTTCACATGGAGCACAGCCCCAGGCTGAGTGGCACCATCGAAGAGCGAAGGTCCAGAATACAACAGGATGAGATGAAGAGAGTATACTACCCTAAAGGTAGAAACACCTCCTGACCCTCGCTAACCCTCAGTGAAGCTCAGTTTGTTGTGTAGCTGCACATTGAGAAGGGGTCCATACAGAACAAGGTCCATCCCCAAAAGCCAGTCGAATCAAAGATTTCTTTTTTATTTTGGTTTTCATTCTCCTGCTTGTCTACAGATTCTTCCAGAGGTGAGAAGAAGGAAAGCAAGTGTCCAACACCGGACTGTGATGGTACTGGCCATGTGACGGGTCTGTACCCACATCACCGTAGCCTGTCTGGGTGTCCCCACAAAGATCGGGTCCCTCCTGAGAGTAGGTTATGCTGCTTGGCTGCTTTTCCACTGTCTGCTGATCATTTCAGTGAGCTTTTCCATCAGAGGCAGAAATCATCTTTATGAAGAAATGAGTTCTGAGAACAAACAGCTAGTCTGCTGAGCCAGATCCAAAAACTCTAACAGGATCCAAAACGAGTCCAGAACAGGAAAACAGAACATTCATATCAAAGAATTCAGCTGAAATGGTTTACACTTTGACTGATGATTTTCAAAAACTATAATCACTATATATTAAAATTGGTAAATCACTATATTTACTAATTTTAATACGTAAAATATTTAGAAAAAGTTAAGTACGTACTTTTGAATTATAAAAGTTAATCAGTGACACAATGTCCAGGTCAAAAAAAGCCGATATGATAACTCCGCCTCCCACTTCTTCACTCAGCCAATCAGATTGTTTCTGCCTCAGGTAATGTGAAGATTTAAACATACAGCTGCCATATTTGTGTGACCTACGGCACAATCACCACTATGGTTAGGGGAGTCGTCCTGGAACTGGAAGGTCGCCAGTTCGATCCCCCATCCAGCCGTTTCAGTCGTTGTGTCCTTGGACAAGACACTTCACCTGCCTTGCCTACTGATGGTGGTCAGAGGGTCCGGTGGCACTGGTGCATGGCAGCCCCGCCTCTGTCAGTGAGCCCCAGGGCAGCTGTGGCTGGAGCTTACCACCATCAGTGTGTGAATGTGTGTGTGCATGGGTGAATGTCTGAAATGTAAAGCGCTTTGGGGTCCAAGTGGACTTGATAAGGCGCTATATCAAGCCATGTACCATCTGTGTAAAGCTTTGTTCAAACAAGAATTTGAGGTTCCCCAATACCCACTCCACCGCAGCCACCAGATAAGCTTATAAGGATCAACAGAGGCATCGCTTGCAAATTAAATACCCTTTATTTGGTTCACAATACTATTAAAAAAATACTCCGATCTGAGGGCTTAGATGATCATAAAATAGTTTGTTACCAAGAATAAAACCAGAGAGCTATACTGGCCTTGGGAACCTTCAGCTTAAATTAGTTACCAACTATTTAGATTATTTGGGGTGAAAGAAATAAAAAACAAACTCACACACATGCTCCCCAACAGAAACACACTCACACCAAAAACCCTGGTGAGCACAGCAAGAAATACAAACCCCGCTTCCACTAGACTTTTTAAAACCCTTTAAAACAACCCAGAGGACTAAAACTAAGGTTTCCTCTTGTTGGTAAACAAGCAAAATACAAATAATAGCTGATCCTAAAATGATGATGATGAAAATAATAAAAAAGATAAAGAATAAACTAGTGGAAACTAATAGTACAAATGAAAACCAAACTAAACTACAAAACCAACTAAAACAAAATTTAAGCAAAACTAACAAAACTGCAACAGTAGCAGGCCAACTTACATGAAAAAAGGACAAAGTCAGACCAACACCTTGAATAAACAAACAAAATGAGGACTAACTTTACCTCCTGCTCAATAAAAACATTTGATATGCACTCCTCATGCGCCACTCCCTCTAAGACAATGTAACCCATTCAAGAGAAACCATGTTGCATTTTAGCAAGTTAGCTTGTTGCATGACTGAATAATGTCAGCCTCCCACAGGACATGTCAGACGTAATATGTAGCCTTGTATAAAGATGTGGCAAAGCCAGTAGTCTAGTGCATCCAAAAGTGTTCAATGTTTATACTTTAATGTAACATTCCAACTGTGCACTTTTACTAACTACTTCTACTTTTAATACAATTATATCAGAAAATTACTTTACTACTACTTTCCTACATTACTTACTTCTAAGAGAAGACTTTTACCAAATTAATTTATGGTAAGACACTTGTACTTTTACTCAAGTATCATTTTGAGGTACTTTATACAAGCCTGAGTTTTAAAGTTAGTTATTTTGACTGACAGCTCCCAGAGCCAGGAGCTTCCTGTCCACAGAGATCTCATCAATACTTTAGGAGAAATGTGGAAAACCTTTAGATTTTGTCTTTAGACTTATCTTTCAGACAAGACCAGAACCAAACATTTCTGGTTGCAGAACAGATCTCAGATTATTTTGGATTTAACTTGGAGAGGAGTTTTAAAAATTGTATTGGAACTGAAAAGAGTCCCGACTTCCTTAAGTTTTTGTGAAATTTGATCTTGGTTCTTGTTTTGATTCAGGCTTCAAGGTCTGGGTTGAGGAAAAACATGTTTGTGTTCTGTTTGGTTCTGGTGCTGTGATCTGAGTATGGCCATTTGTCCAACTGATTGCTCTATATTTTTCTGCTTCTAACCCTTTCTGTCCTTCTCACCTTCTCTTATCTGTAAAGTCCTTGCAATGTATGAAAATGTGTTAAAGTGTCCGACTCCTGGCTGCTCTGGACGAGGTCACGTCAACAGCAACAGGAACTCTCACCGCAGGTGAGTGCTGCAGTCACACCACTGTCAGGGTAAAGTTGGGTAATCATCTATAAGACAAGACCCTCCTCTCTGTATTAAGTCACACCCCTAACTGGGGTGAGATCCTTGTGGGTAGAGTCACAGCATCACAGATGGTGAACACTGGTATCTAATTACATGGCTGAACTGCTGTTTTCAGATCTCTTTATACAAACACAGTTTAAGTTAGATGGTTTTTGGAGATTTTCACCACAGACAGTTCAATTTACTCCTGTGGAGTAAACTGAATGGTCTGCCACTTCACTGGGGTGGTGGTTCCCATTTTTAAAAAGGGGGACCAGAGAGTGTATTCTATCATGGGATCACACTTCTTATCCTCCCTGGGAAAGTTTACTCCAGGGTGTTGAAAGGGAGGCTCTGATCGATTGTCGAACCTCGGATTCAAGAGGAGCAGTGTGGCTTCAGTCCTGGTCATGGAATTGTGGACCAGGTCTTTACCCTTACAGATTTGCTAAGGGGATTGTGGGAGTTCGGCTTTCTGGTCTCCATGTGTTTTGTAGACTTGGAGAAGGCTTATGACTGAGTTCCTTGAGGCATTCTGTGGGGGTGCTGCAGGAGTATGGAGTGTCTGGTTGCTACTAAAAGAGATCCAGTCCCTGTAGAACCAAAGCGGGAGCTGTGTTCACATTATTGGCACAAAGTCAAGCTTGTTCTCAGTGCAGGTTGGACTCCAGGCCTGTCCCTTGTCTCCAATCCAGTTTGTAGTGTTTATGGACAGGATGTCAAAGTGCAGCTGTCCACTTGTGCCTCAAGTGGAGGAGTTTAAGTATCTGGGTGTCTTGTTCACAAGTGATGGTAGGATGGAGCGGGAGATGGATCAATGGATTGGGGCCTCATCCTCAGTAATGTGGGCATTGCTTCAGTCAGTCGTGATGAAGAAAGAGCTGAGTCAAAATGCAAAGGTCTTGATTTACTGGTCTGTCTTCATTCCAACCGTCACCTATGGTCATGAAAGTGTGGATCATGACCCAAAGAACCAGATCCTGGCTACAAACGGCCGAAATGAGCTTCCTTTGTAGGGTGGCCAGGCTCAGCCTTAGAGATACGGGGAGGAGCTCCGTCATCTGGGGGGAGCTCAGAGTAGAGCCGCTGCTCTTCCACAATCATAGGAGCCAATTGAGGTGGTTCATTTGATTAGGATGCCTCCCTTCAGAGGGGTTCCAGGCATGTCCAACTGGTAGAAGGCCCTGGGAAAGACCCAGGACTCCCTAGAGGGATTATGTATCCTCTCTGGCCAGGGAACAACTTGGGTTCCTCCAGGACAAGCTGGAAAATGTTGGTGGGGGGAGGGAGGTCTGGATTTCTCTCCTGGAGCTGTTGCCTCTGCGACCAGACTACGGATATTCGGAAGAAGATGGAGATATCCAGTTTAGTCTCTGATTATGTTGATATTTTGTTAACAAGCTTATCTTACTACCACAATCTTTTCACTTCCTTTAGTTTATCCTTTCAAGCTTCAGTGTTTCTGTCTTCTTCACCCAGTGTGTCTCTGCTGTACTGATGGTTTCTTCTCGGAGGACAGAGGTCACACTACCAAACCCAAATTAACCTCCACTGTYTCTGAGCTCACATCTCTCAACCAAACAGGAAGCAAATACTATTTTAACTTGTGATCCATCAACCCCTGTAGAACCATCAAACAGAACCAGTGGTACCATCAGAACCTTCTGCTTCTCACGGGTCAAAAGTTTCTTTGATCCAACTTCTAGTTTTCACAAAGACTGTTTGTCTGAGACTTTATTTTTACTCCAGGTTCGTTGCCATCTCCTCATTATGAAAAGTCACCATTTGCATAAAGCTGCTTTAAAAAATTTCCACTGAATCCACATCTCTTAGAGACTGAGGTAATACGTTCCAAAAGTTAGGAGCTACAACCTGAAATGTTATGTCCTCGCGTGTCTTTAGGAACAAGCAGCTGATTGGATTTAGTGGACTTAAGGTATGTTTTAGCCCCTCCCTCTTTAGAAAGTGGAAGGAGCCCACAGCAGCACTTGCTGATCACTGAGAAAAGTGCTGTCGGTAAAGTCTCCAAAAGTCTCCAATAATGCTAGAAATAGTTCGATTTGTCATTAGTCACGTTTTGGAAAAAGTCTTAGAGGGGTCTGAAAACCCACTAAATCTAGCAACAAAATCACTAAGTTGGCAGCACTGGCCTGGATTGCTGCTACATCCTGCCTTTCCCCTTTCTGCCCCACACAAAAGGTGGTAATCCTGGTGGCAACCATTAACTCAGGAGATTCTCTGATATTACCCAGCATGCATTTCTTCCTCCTATGTTTCCATCATGGCTGTCCCATAGAACCTTTATGTCATCTGTAATGTTTGATGTTCAGGAGGATTCAGTCAGAGGGTTGACAGGAAACAGGAAAAGGTTTGGACCTGGAGTTTCAAAACAAAGCTTACAATTACTCTTCAGAATACATGTTTGTTTCAGTTATGCAGCAGTTTCGATTATTACAAAATTAAGACCAAGATTACTTTTGGTCTTTCTGCAAGAAAGTTGGTACAATGTAGCTGTTATGTTGTGTGTTTATGTACAAATGTGTTTTTCTGTACAGAGGGTAATTGTGTTTTTTTCTCTCTTGTCTCCATCAGTCTCTCTGGTTGTCCAATTGCTGCTGCAGAAAAGATGGCCAAGGTCCATGAAAAGACTTTTTCATCAGATGGCAGCAGTAAAACCAATCAGACATCAGACCGTGTTCTCAGGTACTGCCCCTTTGAGCCAAATATAAAAAATTACATTTTAATGACAGTGCTGTGTTCTATAACCAAAAATATTTGTATTAATATCACAATAACAAAATATTATTATGTGTTGTTTTCAAAATTTGGATCAGATCTTTAGTGTTTTGGTCTTGTTTAAAAAAACAATTAATGTGGAAACTGAACTTATCTTATTTTATCTGCTACAAATTTGGAAAAGAATGGTACCAGGAGGTCCTGAGTTGTCACTAGAGATACTGAAAGAAATAAAAGGTCCTAATGATAAGACAGAACTTAGCGCATCCCAAATGAGGGTGAGTGTGTTGGAGTTAGAATTTGGTGGGTCTTGTACGTTTGAAGGAGGCTTTTTAATCTAAAAATGAGTGAGTAAGAGTTTTAACTTCTTTGCTTTTAGGCTGTTTTTCTAATAATTTTTTTTACATGCCATAAGTTATTGTGTGTTAAATGAGCCTTTTTCTACAAAACTATTTTAGCAACATTAGTGCCTTGCCTCAGATTTGTTCTTACCTCACTACACTGATGCTGACATCAGTTGATGGCTGTTGATAATAACAGGAAGTCCTGGTTCTGATTTCAGAAATGTAAAATCACGGATGCTGACTGGTGCCTCTTTGATGCTGATTGCCTTTCAGGCCAATGTGTTTTGTCAAACAGCTGGAGATTCCTCAGCATGGTTACAAAAACAACGTTCCCACCAGCACTCCTCGGTCCAATCTGACCAAAGAACTGGAAAAGTATTCAAAGAACAGCTATGACTACACTGGCTATGATAGCCATATGGGTGGCTATGGAAAGAAGGGCTCAACAACCAAGTCCCACCATGGGCGTGACACCTCCCCAAATGGGTATGATGGTAAGAAAATGAGCAGTCATCAGTACTGATTCAAGACGAGTTTTGAGTTTTTGCTTTAATTTTACTCTTCATTTGTTCATTTAAAGCTTAACGTAGTCCTGTCAGGTGGATTTATTGTGTTTATAGCAGAAACTGATGCAGACATTGCTGGAGCTATTTCCTTGAGTTTGCTTTTTTTTCTTGGACTGTCTCTGATACTGATTTGTTTGCCTGTCTGTTCATTGGTGCAGCGAAGCGTTACTGTAAGATATCAAGCCCTGCTAGCAGCACGACTAGCAGCTATGCTCCGAGCAGCAGCAGCAGCATGAGCTGTGGAAGAGGAGAAGGAGGAGGTGCTGGAGAAGGAGGAAGCAGTGCAAGCAGCACCTGCAGCAAGAGCAGCTTCGACTACACCCATGACATGGAGGCCGCCCACATGGCGGCAACAGCCATCCTCAACTTGTCGACGAGGTGCCGAGAGTTGCCACAGGTTTTGGGAGGAAAACCCCACAACCTGCTGAACCAGGTTAATCGAGGACTATGAGTGTTTATTTGTGTAGCATCATTTACAAATAGAGTGGGCCAAGAACCCAGCTTTGTGGAACTCCCAAAGATCATCAACTGATTTTAAAAGATGTTTAAAGAGGACTGGAATTTATATATACGTATAAACCTTCTTTATCTGTCCTACTAGAGTCCAGGTGAAGATGCAGACAATGTTGAGCCAGTTGATATGGCAGGTCAACCAGGTGGTCCGGAGGGAAGCGAGACGGTGCTGACTCCCCTGCAGCCAATGTCACCCAGGCGTCAGGCTTTGCTCAACAGCCACTGCTACCAGTTGAGTGATGCCGACTGCTGGGACCTGCCGATCAACTACAACAAGGTCAAAAAGCTGGGAGATGAGCAGGAACACAAGGAGGTAAAGAACACTTTTATCATGAATCAGAGGAATTTATAACCTAAATTATGGGGTTATAGTTTAAAACTTTCTGTTTAAATAAAACAAATATGTGGGTTAAAGTCATCAGTAATGTAAGAGATGATGATTTGTCTATCCATCCATCCATCCATCCATCCATCCATCCATCCATCCATCCATCCATCCATCCATCCATCCATCCATCCATCCATCCATCCATCCATAGGGGCAGCAGCTTGAGCAGAGAAGCCCAGACCTCTCTTTCCCCAGCTAATGCTTCAGCTCTTCTGGGAGGATTCTAAGGTGTTCCCAGGCCAGTCGTGAGACATAGTCTGTCCTAAGTCTTCCTCTGGGTCTCTTCCCAGTTGGACATGCCTGAAGCACCTTCTCAGGGAGGCGTCCAGGAGTCATCCTTAGCTAGATGCCCAATCCACCTCAACTGGCTCCTCTGGATGTGGAAAAGCATTGGCTTTACTTTGAGTCATTCCTGGCTTACTGAACTTCTCACCATATCTGGGAAAGTCCAGCTACCTTGCGGAAAAAAATAATTTTGATCAATTTTATCGGTGATCTTGTTCTTTCGGTCACTAAGCTGCATTCACACCAAACGAGTTTTGAGCATCAGGGGCATCAAGGTTTACATGCAAAGTCTATGGTGGATGCACGTCAAGCAGTATTGAGAAGTGCTGCGGCGCATCTAGCATGATGAGAGCGGCGTGATTTGAGCGATTCGAGTCAAACGCTGGAGTTGGAAAACCTGAACTTTTCTGAATTATCTGGTGAATTAATTGTGAATTTATTATCTGGTGAGCGTGACATGCTCTTGCTCTCAATAAATAAAGCAAAGCCACTTTCTTTTTTTTATCCGCCATTAAACAGAGACCAGCAGAGGAGGTGAAAAAAGGTTATTGATGCACTTGACACGCATCACCCGCCTCAAGAGCAGTTTTGACTCACGTACGACCTCAAATTGCACAAGTGTCCAACTTGACGCTGAAATCGTGTTCGATGTGAACGCAGCATAAGTTTGTGGCCATAGGTGAGGGTAGGAACGTAGACCTACCTGTAAACAAAGAGCTTTACCTTACAGCTCATTTCCCTCCTCTTCACCACTACCTCTTTCTGACTGAAGATGATGGCCTCAGATTTGGAGGTGCTGATTCTCATCCCAGCCGTTTTACACTTGACTGTGAACCACTCCAGGGAGACCTGAAGATCACATGCATGATGATGCCAACAGGACCACATCATTTGCAAATAGTTGAAATGGAAACCTGATGCCACCAAACTGGACTCCTTCCACCCCTTAGCTACTCGGGAAATTCTGTCCATAAAGTTTATTAACAGAATCTGCAACAACGGGCAGCCCTGGTGGAGTCCAACACCTATCTTGAAGGGGTCTGACTTGCTTCTGATTTACTTCTGGCAAAGTTAACCAAACGCTCACACCACTTGTATGGAGACTGAATGGCCCATAACAATGGACCCACAATCCCGTACTCATGTAGTACCCCCCACATTGTACCTCAAGGAACACAGTCAAATGTCTTCTCCAAGTCTACAAAACACATGTAGACTGGATTAGCAAATTCCCATGACCCCTCAAGGACCCTAGTGAGGGTAAAAAGTTGGTCCAGTGTTCCACAGCCAGGACGGAACCCGCATTGTTCCTCCAGAATCTGAGGTGCAACTATTGCTCGAACTCTCTTCTCCAGTACCCCTGAAAAGACCTTACCTGGATGCTAAGGAGAGTGGTGCCCCTGTAAAAAAGCACACCCTCCTGTTTGAAGAGGGGAACCAATCCAGTGGCACTGCCCCCAATGTCCACACGATGTTGCAAAGGCATGTCAACCAGGACAGCCCCACAACATCCAGAGCCTTGAAGAAATCAGTCACCTCAGCTGCAGTTATGGACAGACCAACCCCGAAATCCCCGTACACAGCTTCTTTTATAGAAGACGTGCCAGTGAGATTGTGAAGGTTCAAGTATTCCTTCCTTCTGAGGTGGAGCTTCAGCTGCCTGATGGTTTGCCAGAATCTCCTCTGATTTGATCGAGAGTCTTTGTCCAAGGCCTCACTGAACTCTTCCCACATTTGAGCTTTAGCCTCAGCAATAGCTAGGGCTGTGGTCCACTTGGCCTGCCGACACTCCTCACCTGCCCCTGGAGCCCTACCAGCCATTAAGGCCAGATAGGATTCCTTCTTCAGTATGACAGCCTCCCTAACCCGGGGTGTCCACCACTGAGAAGCACCAACAACACTGCAGCCACAGCTCAAGGCAGCTGCCTCGACAACTGAGGTGCAGAACATGGCCCACTCAGATTCAATGTTCCCAGCCTCAGCTGGGATGTAGTTAAATTTACCTGGAGGTGTTCTGGCAGGTTCTTCTGCCAGCCATTCTCAGCAAACCCTCACTAATCATTTGGCTACTGCCCATGGCAGCATGCACCTGATTCATAGGGCCACTCATGCATGTGGTGGGCCCACAGGAAGGCAAACCCATGAGTAGACCCCCCAGCCACCAGGCACTTGTCAATGACCCCCTTCCCCAGGCCTGGCTCCAAAATGGGGCCCAGATGACCTATGTCCAGGCAAGGGACACTAAGTTCCTTGTTTTTGTACAGTATGTCCCTATGAGTGTTTATTTTCTCTGAGACAAAATTACAGCACTCATAAACAGGCTCAGATCCAGTTCAGCCTATCAAAGCTCAAGAAACAAAACAAACAGTCTTTATGGTTCTGATCTGATCAAATTGGGTCTCAGCAGTTACAGCTGTGACTCAGTCTGATAGTTTCATTATTTGAATACATTATTTTTCTGCAGCACATTTCTTCATTTGTCTTAGATTTTCAGATGGAAGATGTTTCTTTATATCATGAAATTTCGGTATTAAAGTTTTCATTACAAAAAAATTTGATGGAAAGAACGGCAAACTCAGTTTTTATCTCACAGTGTTTGTTGTGTTTTTTTTGTCAACCCTCCAGGAGAAAGATGAGATAGATCCATTCCAGGAGCTGCTGGATGAGCAGTGTCATCCAGCCAAGGTGACCACACCAAGCCCCAAACACCACAAGTATTCACCCTGCAAGGACAGCAAGAAAGAACTGATCAAGTAAGGCAAAACTGAACCAGAACTTTGAGGCAAAAACACTGATCTGAACCCTGAAAAGAGATTGATCTTTAAATTAAAACATCTTTATCTATTACGTAAGCTTCAACACAATAAAGGTTCAGTATCATTAACTTCAGGTACATCACTTGTAAGTGCCCATCCATTCATCCTTGGTAGTCTCCTCCCAGTGAGATGTGACCAGGAGGCATCCTAATCTGAACCACCTCAGCTGACTATGAGGAGGATGAGCAGATCCACTCCAGGCTTCTCCTGGATGATGGAGCTTCTCTCCTCTCTGAGCCCAGCTAACCCACAAAGGAAGCTCATGTTAGTTTCTTGGAGCTGGGATCTATCAGTCTGTGTAAATGTCTTTGTATTATTTTGTATTTCTGTTCCCCTGTGTTTCAGATCATTCCTATTTTCTCTCCTCAGTCTGCCTTCAGTGTTTTTCTTCTTCTGCCTGCCACCCCTCACCTGTCTCCAATCCATCCCTCCTTGGGTGTTGCTAATCTCTCTCCGTCAGTTTGTATTTAATTGGTCTCTTGTCACTATTTCCTTGTCTGCTCATTGTCTTATCTTCCCTGTCACTGTTCCTTCCCTGAGCAGTTTATATTCTTTTGTTTGTTTGCCACCATGTCGGTTTTTGGTTCTATTTTATAAATAAATAACTTTCCTTTACCACCTTGTGCCAGCCTGTATTTCTGGGTCTATCTCCTTTGAGAATTGGTCAGGATCAGTTCTGTCCAATCCTGATTTAAGTCTCATGACCATAAGTGAGGGCTGGAATGTAGACAGATAGTAAAGCCAAGCTTTTTCTTCCAGTTTAGCTCCATCACTATGACAGACCAGAACAACACCCTCACTTCCCTAAACCCAGTGGAAGTGTTCCAGTGGTTTTACAGTTGAGAACTATGGCCTCATACTGAGAGGAGCTTATTCTCATCCCACCTACTTTCCACATAGCTGCGAAAAGCCCCAGTGAACATCAGTAGAACATCCATCTGCTGGTGGGAAAGGAGCCTGAGTTTGTGTATGATGTTGAGCGACACCAAGTTGGACTTACCTTCACACATATCTTGTTCTTTAGATCTAGAAGTCACCTCCTTTTAGAGGGACTGAAGTTTTTCATTCTCTGGAGTTACCCAGGGATAGAGGCCTCAGGCAGGTGTGGGATTACCCACAAGCCCCTAGCTGAGCCCTTCAGTGCTGAAGTTTTTCCCAGTTAATTATGGGGTTGACTCTGTGTCTTTGACCTAGCTAGGCTCCCTGTTCGTGAGATTTTCAACTCACACCTTTAGAAAAGTTTTTTCCACTTGTCCCAAGCGATGTCTAGAACATGGAATTTAAATAGACCATGTTCAGGGCCTCTATTTACAGATGCAGCTTCTAGAACCTGTTGCCAGAACGGCATTGTTGCCTGTTGTGGCAGAAACTAGAAAATTAGTTGATGGACACCAGTGATGTTGGGGGTTGTCAAGCTGAAATAGGAGGCTTTCAGGGCTTGGTAGTCCCGGAGGGCTCCTGAAGCAGCTGATAGGTACAAGATGTTCAAAGTGACTGCAGCTTCTGTGGTAGCCAAAGCAAAATACTTGAGCAGGGTAGAATGTCCGATAAACCACGGAGAAAGACTTTTGATTCGTCTCAAGGAGGTTTTGGCATACTGTTGAATGACTCAAAAAGGAAAGGAGGGCCCCACCTACATTGTGCTTGGTTTTGGTTGAGAACTGCTGACCCGTACTAGAGACAATGCCAGACAGTGGAGGAAACACTAGGAGAGCTACTTCATTTGGTTGCGATGCCCACCTTTGATGAGGTAGTATCTGAGGAGTCGGGGAAAGAAAAAGCCATTTTCATAGTGGAGGTCACTCAGGTAGTCAAGCTCATTGGAGGCAGAGCACCAGGGAGAACAATAGATGCTGAAGGCTCTGAACATTGTGGGATTGTCATGATTGACAAATATTCCAGGCTGCATGGAGAACTAGAGATGATCTTCCACTCCACTGGGGGATAGGAGTGTTTCAACTATGGAGGGATCACACTTCTCAGCTTCCCCAGGAAATTTCCTCCAGGATGTTGGATGGGTGGCCTTTCTTGATAGCTGAACACCAGATTCAGAAGGAGCAGTGTAGCAGGTTTCTGTCCTTGCTGCGTTCTTGAGGGGTTCATAGATGTTTAACTGTCTAGTCTACATGTGTTTTGATCTAATAAAAGATCACCACAGTGTTGAAGCACGTTGGGGATTTTGTGCGAGTGCAGGGTTTCAAGGTCACTTTTAAAGACTATCTAGTTCCTAAATAAAGCAGAAGCTGGGTCTGCATACTTGATATTCATTAAACTGGGTTTGTTCCTATAAAATGTTGGTGTTTCCATAAACTGGGTGTTTGAAAATGCTGGTAATACTTCAGAAACAATTCAAAACATTTCTTCTTCTGCAGTTTGTCAAGTTGTGAGCTTTCCGATAAGAGCATTCGTGGCATCTTGACAACCAACTCACAAGATTTGAAGTGAGTCTTTAAAAACATCACATATCTCTGAAGAAATGTGTCTCTTGACCGACCAACCGAGTGACTGACTGAGTGACTGACCGACTGATCAACCAATAGAGTGACAAGCTAAGTGACCAATTGACTTAGTGACCGACTGAGAGACCAACCAACTGATCAAGTGACTGGCTGTGTGACCAACTGAGTGACTAAGTGACTGACCAACCAACTCAACTGAGTGACTGACTAACTGACTGACCAGCTGAGCGACCAACTCAGTGACCGACCGACCTACTTAGTGACCGACCAACCGACCAAGTGACCGACCAAACAACTGACTGACCAACGAGTGACCGACAGTGACTAAGTGACCTACCGAGTGACCGACCAACTGACCCGCTGAGTGACTAACTGAGTGACCAACAGAGTGACCGACCAACTAACTGACCGACCAAGTGACTGACCAACTGACCGAGTGACTGTGATTGACCGACCAACCGACCGATTGACCGGCCAACCAAGTGACCAACCAACCGATTGGCTGACCAACCAAGTGACCAACCAACCGACCGACCAAGTGACAAAGTGAGTGACCAACTGACCGACAAACCAACCGACTGACCATCTAATGGACCAACCAACCGAGTGACCAAGTGACTGACTGACCGAATGAGTGACCGACCGAGTGACCGACCGAATGACTAAGTGACTTTCTGATGATGGTGGTGTTTGTTGGTCAGGTGTCCCACCCCTGGTTGTGATGGATCAGGACACATCACTGGAAACTATGCCTCCCACAGGAGGTAAGGAGAACAGCTGTTCAAACCTGAAGTTCAACCTCAGAATTTCAAAACAGCAAACATTTTATTTGTTATAACAAATTATTTTGCTATTTTCACTGTTTTTCTGTTGTTTTTGATTTTTTCATTCTACTTCAGTTCAGAACGTTTATCTGTATTTCTGTCTCACAGTCTCTCCGGTTGTCCTCGAGCCAAGAAAACTGGCCTGAAAATTCTCCACAGCAAAGAAGAAAAGGATGAACAGGAGCCAATCAAGTAGGACTTTTCATTTTTCAACATTTTCACCATCAGGTAGAATGTCCTAAAACTGTTCTTGTCCTGGTCTAGGATTAAATCCCAGACTGGGTTAAATTCTCAACCAGAAATACAGAAACAGTCTGAGGTATAGTCCTCCTGTTAGTTCCATTGAGGTGTACCTTCTGTTTGTTCTTTCTCTGAGATGTACCTCCTGTTGGTATCTCTTCTGAGGTATAGTCCTCCAGTTAGTTCCTCCACTGAGGTGTAGTCCTCCTGTTGGTCCCTCCTCTGAGGTGTAGTGCTCCTGTTCGTTACTTGAGGTGTAGTCCTCCTGATTGTTCCTTCTCTGAGGTGTACCTCCTGTTGGTTCCTTTGAGGTCTACCTTCTGTTGGTTCCTTTGGGGTGTAGTCCTCCAGTTGGTTCCTCCTTAAAGGTGTAGTCCTCCTGTTGGTGCCTCCTCTGAAGTGTAGTCCCCTTGTTGGTTCTTTTGAGGTGTAGTTCTCCTGCTGATATCTCATCAGAGGTGTACCTCCTGTTGTTTCCTCCTCTGAGGTGAAGTCCCCCTGTTGGTTCCTCCTCTGAGGTGTACCTCCTGCTGGTTCCTTCTCTAATGTGTACATCCTGCTGGTTCCTTTGAGGTGTTGTTTGTTCATCCTCAGAGGTGTACATCCTGCTGGTTCCTCGACTAATGTGTACATCCTGCTGGTTCCTTTGAGGTGTACCTCCTGTTTGTTCCTCCTCAGAGGTTTACTGCCTGTTAGTTCCTTTAAGGTGTACCTCCTGCTGCCTCCTCCTCTGAGGTTTATCTCCTGTTGGTTCCTTTGAGGTGTGCCTCCTGCTGGCTCCTCCTCTGAGGTATACCTCCTGCTGGTTCCTTTGAGGTGTACCTCCTGCTTGTTCTTCCTCTGAGATGTACCTCCTGCTGGTTCCTCTAGTGTATGCATCATGCTGGTTCCTTTGAGGTGTTCTTCCTCAGAGGTTTACCTCCTGTTGTTTCCTTTGAGGTGTACCTCCTGCTGCATCCACCCCTGAGGTTTATCTCCTGTTGGTTCCTTTTGGGTGTACCTTCTGCTGGTTCCTTTGAGGTGTACCTCCTGCTGGTTCCTTTGAGGTGTACCTTCTGCTGGTTCCTTTTAGGTGTACCTCCTGCTTGTTCCTCCTCTGAGGTGTACCTCCTGCTGGTTCCTTTGAGGCGTACCTTCTGCTGGTTACTTTGAGGTGTACCTCATGCTGCCTCCTCTGAGTTTAATATCCCGTTGGTTCCTTTGAGGTGTACCTTCTGCTGGTTCCTTTGAGGTGTACATCCTGCTGGTTCCTCATCTGAGGTGTACCTCCTGTTGGTTCCTTTGAGGTGTACCTCCTGTTGGTTCCTCATCTTAAGTGTACTTCTTGCTGTTTCATTTGAGGTGTCCCTCCTGCTGGTTCCTTCTCTGCAGTGTCCCTCCTGCTAGTTCCTTTGAGGTGTACATCCTGCTGGTTCCTCCTCTGAGGTGTACCTCCTGTTGGTTCCTCATCTTAAGTGTACTTCTTGCTGTTTCATTTGAGGTGTCCCTCCTGCTGGTTCCTCCTCTGCAGTGTCCCTCCTGCTAGTTCCTTTGAGGTGTACATCCTGCTGGTTCCTCCTCTGAGGTTTACCTCCTGTTGGTTCGTCCTCTGAAGTGTACTTCCAGCTGGTTCCTCCTCTGAAGTGTACGTCCTGCTGGTTTCTTTGAATTGTACCTCCTGCTGTTTCCTCCTCTGTGGCGTACTAGCTGCTGCTTCCTCCTGTGTTTTACCTCCTGCTGGTTCCTCCTATGTGGTGTACCTCCTGCTGGTTCCTCCTCTGAGCTTTACCTCCTGCTGGTTCCTCCTCTGAGGTGTACATCCTGCTGGTTCCTCCTCTGAGGTGTACTTCCTTTTGGTTCCTGTGAGGTGTATCTCCTGCTGATTCCTTCTCTGACATAAATCTTCTGCTGTTTCCTCCTGTCAGATGTCCAGTCCCCGGCTGTGATGGACAGGGTCATGTGACGGGGAAGTATGCCTCTCATCGCAGTGCGTCTGGCTGCCCCCTGGCAGCCAAGAGGCAGAAGGACAGCTACGTGAATGGCTCTCAGTTTGTCTGGAAGTCTGGGAAGACGGACGGGATGAGCTGTCCGACTCCAGGCTGTGACGGTTCAGGACATGTGAGCGGCAGTTTCCTGACCCACCGCAGGTCAGCCACCTCCAGAAGCTTTATTCCTTTTTCTCTACATTTTGTTGATCCTGATATAACTCCTGATGTCCAGATGTTTGTATCATCCACTTGTCCTCAGCCTCTCCGGTTGTCCTCGTGCTACATCAGCCATGAAGAAGGCCAGGATGAGTGGCATGGAAATGCTGACAATCAAGCAAAGAGCAAGCAAAGGTCTGAGACTAACCAAATCTAAAGTCTTCCTTAACATTTTCCTCTTGTCTGAAGAGAGAACTCTAAGGGAAAATCTGATTGGTTACAGGAATTGAAAATGATGAAGAAATCAAACAGCTGGATGAAGAAATCAATGATCTAAATGAGTCCAACAGTCAAGTGGAGTCAGACATGATAAAACTGAGGACACAGGTGAAACCAACTTTATTTCTTCCATCATTCTGTGAAGAGGAATTGTCTGGCTGTTTTTTAAAGTCTGAAAATGACACGTGGAAAATTTGACAAAGACATAAACCTTTTTAACTCTATTTTTAAGTTCTAAGAACATGTCCTCATGGTGTCCTTGTCAGATAACCACCATGGAGACAAACCTGAAGTCCATTGAGGAAGAAAATAAGGTGATCGAACAGCAGAACGATTCACTCCTGCATGAACTGGCAAACCTGAGCAAATCACTGATCAACAGCCTGGCAAACATCCAGCTTCCACACATGGTAAGACAGCAAAGACTTTCCAACCCACCCTGAAACCATCAACACAAACCCACACACCTGTCCTTTTACATCACACAGCTTCAACACATGGTCAGAAGGACATGACACATCTAACCTGACCAGTCAGTCAGTCAGTCAGTCAGTTTGTCAGTCATTCCATCAGTCAGTCAGTAAAAAAGTCAGTTAATCAGTCAGTCAGTTCATCAGTTTTCATCTTCCTTTTTGTAAAAACTCTTTCTTCCACTCACTTTTTTCAAATTGAACAAGATTCGTTTGTTTTATCTTTAATCAATGAATGTCATTTTTCTACATCAGCTTTTTTCTGTTTAGTTTTGTGCTTTTATTTTTCAAACAAACCTTGTTGTTTTTTTAGTTTGGCTGTGTTGGAGTCATGATGTTTGAGCGTTGGAAGACTAATTGGATAATCTTTTGGAATACAGCAGAAAAAAATGACTATGTGTCCTCAGCTCTGTCTTATACCCTTATATCCAGACAAAAAGTAATTTCCATCTTGTTTTGAGACTGATTTCTTAAGCAGGAGCAAAATGAGTTAGGTCAGTATGGAGCTAAATTTGGGTCATAAGTTTTGTTCAAAATAAAAAAAAATTTGAAACTGAAAAAAGGAGATTTGAAATTGAAAAACAATTTTGAAACTGATAAATAATATTTGAAACTGAAAAACAATGTATTAGAATCTGGAAAAGTTTTAAACATCTTGTCTTTTCAGTTTCAGCTATTTTTTTCAGTTTCAAATATATTTTTCCAGTTTCGAAATTATTTTTTCAGTTTCAAAATTGTTTTTCAGTTTCAAATCTCCTTTTTTGAGTTTCAAAATTTTTTTTTATTTTGAACAAAACTTATGACCTCAATTTAGCTCCAGAGTTCAGGGGTCTTCAGCCTTTTTCAGTCTGAGACCCCCAAACTGATGAAGAGATGGAGCAAGTAAAATTTTTCATTACAGTTTTATGGTGCGGTGTGAGAGTCAAAATTAAGAGTATTGCTTGACCAGCGGTTGCTACATGCTTATAGCAGGAGGCTATATCTGTTCCCATTCCAGCTATTGATCTGATTAATGATAGGCTGGCACTGGGAACTGAGCAGCTAGCCCTGCTAACTGAGGCCAGTGCTGGTGTTAGCATGGAGAGGATAGCAACTAGCATGCATAAGCTTTAGATAAGGGAAATTCTGCTCTAGATTAGCATTTCAGCCTTAATACAAGATCAAAAATACTTTTCAGCTCGATATGATTGTAAGACTTGTTTAGATGGACGATTTTTTCAGTGTTCAAACCCAGAAAACATCAGATCTGGACCTTCAGTCCTAATAAACCACCAGTTCTAGAGCTACAGACTCGGTAAACAGAAAGCATCCTGCAATCTCAGTTAGATATCAGACCTGCATGGTAAACACAGCTTGCCTAAAATGACTTGTAAATGACTTCTTAAGGTGGACTGAAATGACTTATTAAGGTGGACAGAAATAACTTGTTAAGGTGAACTGAAATGACTTGTTAAGACAGGCTGAAATGACTTGTTAAGGTGGACTGAAATGACTTGTTAAGGCAGATTGAAACGACTTGTTAAGGTGGACTGAAAAGACTTGTTAAGGCAGGTTGAAATGACTTGTTAAGGTGGACTGAAATGACTCATTAAGGTGGACCGAAGTGATTTGTTAAATTGGACTCAAGAGATTTAAGGTGGACTGAAGTTATTTGTTAAGGTGGACAAGAGATTTGAGGTGTACTGAAGTGACTTGTTAAGGTGTACTAAAGTGATTTGGATTGAAGTGATTTGTTAAGATAGACTGAAGTGACTTGTTAAGGTGGAATGAAGTAATTAGTTAAGGTGGAATGAAGTGATTTGTTAAGATGGACTGAAGTGACTTGTTAAGGTGGAATGACGTAATTTGTTAAGGTGGAATGAAGTGATTTGTTAAGATGGACTGAAGTGACTTGTTAAGGTGGATTGAAGTGATTTGTTAAGGTGAACTGAAGTGACTTGTTAAGGTGTACTAAAGTGATTTGGATTGAAGTGATTTGTTAAGATGGACTGAAGTGACTTGTTAAGGTGGAATGAAGTGATTTGTTAAGAAGGACTGAAGTGATTTGTTAAGAAGGACTGAAGTGATTTGTTAAGATGGACTGAAGTGATTTGTTAAGAAGGACTGAAGTGACTTGTTAAGGTGGAATGAAGTGATTTGTTAAGGTGGAATGAAGTGATTTGTTAAGATGGACTGAAGTGACTTGTTAAGGTGGACTGAAGTAATTTGTTAAGGTGGACTGAAGTGATTTGTTAAGGTGGACCTTCTGCATGAAGCTAATAGACTTCTCTGTACACCCTCTCCTGTAGAGACCACCGCCTCAGAAAGAGACCCCAGTAAAGATTAACGGCAGTTTTCAGATGCTTCCCAGAGTAAGAGATCTGTTTATGCTTTATCCAATTATCCTCCTCCTCTGAACACTCCATCACCCCTCCCTTCACCTGTAAGTCATTTCAGGCTCAGTGTTGCACTGTAAGTTTTGTGGAAGTAAACGCTGTGTGTGCTCTCCTTCTCTGTTTGAAGTTATTTTTATTGTTTGATGTAAATGTCTTCCTTCATACCCCCACTCAAACCATGTGTCTGAACATGTTGGTTCTCAGAAGAGGGTCTTTTATCCTTGAGATGTGGGACAGCAGAGTCTGGTCCTGACTCAAGCCTACTTCACACTCCCTCTGAACTGCTGAAGTCGGCACAGATCGTCGCAGCTTCATGATGAAAATTACGTCACTGTGTTCTCAGGGTCGACTCGCCACCCCTTTTGGCACAACCCACCGGCAGAACTTTTTATCCCCCTCCCGCTATGACGGTAATGTGTGATTGGTCTGACGTTCGTGGGCGTGTTTGTTTGTGCTGAAAGTACTCGGACGCTGCATTTTGCTTCAACCACTCGGTAAAATAAAAACAGGAAAACAACTCACTTCCAGAGCCCACTGTTGGAAGCAGACATTTATAAAACCACAAAAAAAAATCATGAATAGAGATAAATCAGACGTTGTGCACAGACGAATCTGACTGATTAAAAACTGTGGAGCTTTAACCGCGACAAATTTGTGGATAAATAAAGTCGGGTGAGTGACGTAGCTCAGACTTTCTTTTACTCGTCGTGGACTCCAGTGGGAAAAAACCCATGCAGTGATGTATGCTGCAGTGGGAGGGGTTTCCCAGGCGCTCAATGCGGTGTGTCTCCGGGGCTATGAAAGGTGTGTGCAAAAACGAACTCCAAACAACCACGTGACGGCGCACCATCTGTTCGGCTTCAGAATGAGTATGTTCCAGGAGCCATGAGTCTGTGGAGAGGAACATTCCTCACTGCACTGAGCTGCAGATACACTGCTAACGTTGGGTTTGGAGGTTCTGGTTTTAGGATGGACCAGCCTCTTTCTGAGGGTCCTGTTGGGTTTGAAATGTACCAGGAACTTCCTCTGAGTTTCTCAGATACTTCAGCAACATTCAGAGTGATGATGGTTTTGTGTTTGTTCTTCCTGTTTTGGCGTTTGGATGTCGTTGTTGATTTGACACAAGTCCAGTTAGGATCTCCAGGTTTGGAGAGCATCTCTGATGTGTTTCCGTCCCTTGCTGTTCCTTGCTGTCTTCACGGAGACATGTTGGGCCAAAGAAGTAAAGTTCCAATGACAGTTTGTGTTCCAGTGAGTGGTGAGAGTCAAACAGAAGGTTCTGATCTGTGTCAGCAGGTTCTCTGTAAACATCAGTGCTGAGGCTTTCATCTCCTTCCATGTTCATCAAACAGTCCAGAACAGGCAGCTTGTTGTCGTTGATGTTTTTTCTGTAAATATGATGTTGTTGAAGTCTTCTGTTCCTTTAGTTTGGATTTTGATCTGGACCCAGACCCTCGATTTATACTACACGTGGTTCTGCTCTGTTCCTGCTTTATACAGCACAGCTGCACTCCGGTTTGGAGCACCGAGGAGTTCTGAGAAGTATGAGCAGGAAATCAAGATCACACAATAAATCCAGTGAGAAATATGGAAATCAGAGCAAAATAATTAATTCTGGAAAACGGACTCCAAACACAGTTGAAACAGCATCACTGTTGTATCATGTGTACACATACTGTATGCTACATGTTGCAGTCGGCTTCCAAAAAGAATTCCACATTTTGACTGCAAAATGACTTGAGCGGAACCGCATGTAGTGCAAATTGAGGGTGATGGACCTCAGTCTTTCCTGCACTTATTTCAAAGTTAAAGCCAGTGTTTACAGACTGGTTGTTCCATTGATCTCCAGTGTGATAGACTGTGGTCCACCTCTACATGGACATGGAACATAGAACTGGACTAGAATGAGGGAGCAATACTGAAATGTCTTCAGCTACAGACGTCCAGTTGCGTTTTTATTTTTTCAGCAGTTTTGCGAGTGCCACATCCTGAACTGTTGCTTGCTTGATGAATAAAGAGAAATATTGTTTTGGTTTAATGTTGGGCTGCAGGTCACATTACCCAGTCTTCCTGCAGGTTTTAGGCATAATGCTTCAAAACACTCGGTCTTAGTCTCTTGTCCAATTGGACAACACCAGTCTCCAAACAACAGAAGGCCAAAGCAATGAAACCTGAAGGCATGTGACTGAGTGGAGTGGCCTGAGGATAAGAGCTGCAAGCTTTGTGTTGTCATCATAGATACAGCTTCTCCTGCCTGAAGTACTTCTTAATGTTAACCTGAGTGATGGATCCACGGGAACTATCAGCAAATGAGATTGCCAAACAGTAATGGCAAATATACAACTTGTGAGACAAACTTACAATAAAATCTACCCTGACAGACTGAGGTCTAAAGGTTCTGAGGTTCTCAGGAGATGAAACTGTTACCTCCTACTGAAGCCATCTGTCAGATAAACCCAGGTTTGGTTCAGTTTCCATGTTCTCAACATCTCCACCATCTGCAAACCATCCTTTCAGTTATTATTATTTTGTTTGTTTTGTTTTCGGAAACCTTAAGGGCTCGACACACGGGGAGCGACAAACTACAGCGATTACTGACTGTCATCACAGCCAGGGTGAAACCCGACACATGGGAGGCGATAGCGATGGCAGCGTTGTGAATCACACTCTCAAGTTGCTTGTCTTCACAAAATTTGATTGGTTCTTCTACTGCCTCTTGTAAAGGTTATTGGTGGTTCACAAAAAAGGGGTGTGTGCATTACGGACGTGTAAACTAAACAAATCTTGCGATGCTAATGATATTGAAAAACAAACACACACCAAGATACAATTTTATGAGGAAAAACTTACCGGATAACTTCACCCTGGCACCAAAAAATTCCCTCAAAGCTGCCTTTAATCACTTGGTGAACGTGTTGGCTAACTGCAGTGTGTAGCATGCTCTCTGCTCATTGGTCAGTCAATGAAACCCTCTGATTGGTTGTACGCTAAGCAACGACAAAAGTTGAACATTTTTCAACTTTCATATGTCGCATCGCAAGCTAGCGTGTGCATGTCTACGTGTACGAGCGTGAAATTTCACATGCACTATTTTCGCCGGTCGCTTAGCTGGAGGAGGGCAAGCGATTGTCTCATCACACAAGCTCCATAGGAAATGAATGGAGAGCGAGCGACGCCGCCTCCCGTGTGTCGAGCCCATTAGTCTGCTGCTGAGTTTTAGATGATTTGTAAAACATGGAGCATTTTAGTGACAGAGTGATGATGATTGTCTTCATTCTCCAGTCGCCTGTTTTTTTTTTTTTTTTTTGTGGTTTTGTTCCCAGGAACCGATGAACGAACAGAACTTTGACGCATATGTGAGCACTCTGACTGACATGTACACCCACCAAGATCGGTACCAGAGTCCGGAGAGCAAGGCACTGCTGGAAAACATTCGACAGGCTGTTCAGGGCATCCAGGTCTGATTCAGACCCAAACAAAAGTAGAACCAAGCTTTTTTTTTCTGCTGCTGTTATCCTGGTTTTATTCTTTTAACTCGGACATATCTATTTTTCTGCCTTGCTTTGGAAAACTTGATATAATGTGACGTACAGATTCTCACACCCCAGTGAAACTTCTTCTCCATCAAGGTAAATTGGGCTTTAATGAGTTAAACTGGGAGCAGGAGAACAATCACTTCATTTTAATGTTTGAATGTATGAAAAGGTTTCTGTGAATCATCAAACCGAAGTTTAGGAGAAGAACCTGAACATCCAGATTTCATCACAGGATATGTTTCTTGCTTTTATTTTGAAGAGGACAGGAAGTGTAGGAGACAATCTGCCATCAGTTCCTTTGGCTTCATCAGTTGTGACTGTAAGAAGACGGCCTTCAGCAATATGCCTGTGATGATGTTTGATACTTCTTTGATGTGGGATACAATCTGTATGTTTGGGAATATGCAATTTCTTATGACTTTAAAGAGCCAATAGATGTTTTTATTGATGAGAAACGTGTTGAGTTTTGTATAAATCTTTTGCTACGTTCATGTTTTAAGAATCAGACGCTTTTGTTCCCATGTTCTGATGTTCTTCTCTGGACTTACAGGGTCAAGCATTCCTGAGAAAATGACATCATCCTCCAGAAAACCTCTTTCAGTTTGCAAATTTTGGGTTTGAATCCCAGAACTGTAAAGTCAATCAGTTTCATGAACGCACTTTGTGGAATCATGTCATGGAGCTCAAAGAGAAGCTCCGCCTCTCGTCTCCTTGTATGGTCATCTTTATAAAAGCTACAGTTGTGTTTTGTTGTGAAACCACAAAAACAAATGTTCAGGGTTTCTCTTTCAGCACGTTTCATAAAGATGAGTAACGTCTTCTTCTTACAGCTGCATCTCCACAGAGGACAGTCTGTCTCCATGTCCCAGCATGCTCCTCTGTCCCCCCAACTCTCTGCAGACCCTCCTTCACCACATCGATCTCTGTGGTCTTCCTGTTCCTCCTACATGGCAGCTCCATATTCAACAGCCTTTGACCAAAGTGTCAACTGTCCCTCTAGACATGTCCAAACCATCTCAGCCTTTCCTCTCTAACTTTGAGCTGTCCTTCTGATGGACTCATTTCTAATCCTGTTGGTTTTACTCCCTGAACGACTCCCACCTCCAGCTCTTCTTCCTGTTTTTTAGTGATGTTCGATATTGCCAATTTTGTTACCGATACTGATACCAAGTAAAATGTGGCTGGTATCGGCGATACTGATCCGATACTGATACTTCGTGATAACACACGTAGTGTGTCTGGTAAATCTTAAAAAGTAGTGTTTTTCAAATAACCACTTTATAAATAATACATGACATAGTAATTTATTTAATTTAAAAGTCTTTCTAACCCTAACCCTACATTTGTTTAGCACAATTTTAAATTCTTATTCTAAAGAAATATAATAATTTTTGAATAGTAAATAAAAGTGAGAAAAAATATTCTAAAAGTTGTTTCTTTGTATATTTTGTAGCATTGTTTGTGGGTTTGCAAGAAGGTCCTTGGCCAGAGCTAATGCTGTTTGGGGGGCCATGGCATGAAAAAGTTTGGGAACCCCTCATCTAGAATGTAATTACAGACAGTCAGACGAAGCAGATTTTATGTTAAAATGACCTGCCGTACATCTACAGACTGAGCGACTGACTGAACACGTGCCACTGTGCTTGTGTATTGCTCAAGCGGAAGAAAAAGTAGTTCCCTCCAACCACATATGATTAAGACAAGATTTGAATAGTTTAGTTGTTTTCTATTATCCTGTTGATTTACATTATGTGAAATAACTAAAGTATCAAAGTATCGATATTTTGATTTTAGTATCGATTCTAGAACATAAATTCTTGGTATCGGTAGTATCGATATTTCAGTATCAATCTGCACATCACTACTGTTTTTCTGTTCTGTGAGACATCCTCTCAGGTCTCCTCCTGTTTACTTCGCTCTTTATACCTCGTACCTCCACCTCCTGTTCATTTAGGAAACATCCCCCAGCTTTCACTTTGGAACATGGTGGAGGAAGAACTTTCCTGTAAATTAAATGTTCTTGGCTCAATTTTCAGAGCTAAAAAAAAATAAAAATAAAAAGTCTTTTAGGACATTAAACATTTAAGTCTGTTTGGAAGAAAAGTAAGAAGAGATTCAGTTTGGAAACTAAACAGTTTCCTGTTAGAAAACATTTCACACATTTTGTGCTTCATTTTAAATTACAAATTATTTTTTTTAAGAAAAGGGATTCGTAAAGTAAAAATTCAAGAAAATCGAACATGAACCTGAAGGTCCGGTTCAAACAACAGCAAATACATTTCAATTCATTTATTTGTGAACAGAACCTCATGGTCCTAGAGTTGTAGAATTTCAAAAAGCTGATTCTTTACTGTTATTTTTAAGCTTTTTGATTTCAGCTGTTTTGAAGGACAAACAAACTGAATCTTTCTTCTTTATTTTCCTGATGACATAAAGCACAAGAATTCAGACACAGCAGAGATTCTAATGTCAGAGAGAAAAGTGTATTTATGTAAAGACTGGTGCCACACCTGAATGATGATGACTTTTCTACATGTTTCTCTTTTCTGAGCACACAGCATGAGTTTGTGTTCATTTGTGATGTTTGTAGACTTTTTCTCATGTTGCTGTTGGTATCTGTGGCTCTGAATAAACCTGCTGGTACATCAATCCATCAGTGTGTCTGTGAATTTAAAACCTCAGCATTAAAATACAGGAAGCTGGAAATATGCTATCATGACTGTAAACATGTTAGCCTTACTATAAACAGGTTAGCATGACTATAAACACATTAACAGAAACATAAATGTGTTAACAGATGTATATGTTAGCCTTACTATAAACAGTTTAGCATGCATATAAACAGGTTAGCATGATTAGCAGATTAGCAAGGAGAGTTTTGCATGTTTATTTCACTTGGGGTTGCCACTACAAGTATAAACAGGTTAGCATGACTATAAACAGATTAGCACGATTATAAACAGGTTAGCTTGAGTATACACAGGTTAGCATGAGTATAAACAATGTTAGCATGACTATAAACAGATTAGCATGAATATAAACATGTTAGTACAATTATAAACAGGTTAACATGAGTTTAAACAATGTTAGCATAAGTTTAAACATGTTAGCATGATTATAAACCTTTCAGCTTGAGTACAAACAGATTAGCATGAGTATAAACACGTTAGCGTGACTATAAACACATTAACAGAAACCTAAATGCGTTAACAGATGTATATGTTAGCCTTACTATAAACAGGTTAGCATGATTAGCAGATTAGCAAGGACAGTTTTGCATGTTTATTTCACTTGGGGTTGCCACTACAAGTATAAACATGTTAGCATGACTATAAATATGTTAGCATGACTATAAACATATCAGCATAAGTATAAACATGTTAGCATGATTATAAACCTTTTAGCTTGAGTACAAACAGATTAGCATGAGTATAAACACGTTAGCGTGACTATAAACAGGTTAGCATGACTATAAACAGGTACATGACTATAAACAGGTTAGCATGAGTATAAACAGGTTAGCATGACTATAAACAGGTACATGACTATAAACAGGTTAGCATGAGTATAAACAGGTTAGCATGACTATAAACAGGTTAGCATGAGTATAAACAGGTTAGCATGAGTATAAACAGGTTAGCATGAGTTTAAACACATTGATAGAAGCATAAATGCGTAATAGATGTTTAAACATGTTAACATGCTGGATTAGAAAACAAACATCAGACCTTCGCTCGAGATACAGCAAACAGAGACAACGGAGGATGGATGCTCCACAAAAAGGACTGCTGACTCTGGAACAACAAGTGGTGACGTTTTTACAAAATAAAGACATTAACATCCAACCTGAGGACATTTCTGTTACACCTTGCCTGTTCAATAATAATAATTTAAATCATCTATTGTTACCAGTTTCATTAGTAGGAAAGTTGATAAGGCAAGCAAAAAACCAAAGAGAACAAATGTTTACACTAATGAACAATTGACTAAAAAAACGGGACCATCACAGATGAGGCTGTTGAAAAACAGAAAAAGATAGTAGCAACTTGGACATGAAATGAAAACATTGGGATCAGAGCAAAAGAATGGTCTCAGGCTAGAATAATAAAATAACTGAAGCATTTAGATGAGTTCGGGGGTGGGGGGATAACAAATAAAAATGACTAAAACAACTTGAAACAGAATTTAGCATAAATAAAATATATAAAATATACAAATGAACACAATGGATAGTTAAAATATGACTACATACAAAGACTCAGAGTCTTAAATATATAATGTAGATGATGTGATTAATTTAATTTGTCCTGTAATCAAATATTGTGAATATTATAGTAAGTAGTAATTTAATAACACTAAAATGACAAAAGGTTTCTGTATTATTCAGTGCTCCTGTACTGTCTCATGTGTTTTTTTCCTGATGGTGGACGCAGTTCCGTGTCCACACACTAGAGGCGCTACTGAACCAAACAGGAAAGTTCCGCATGAGTTCGAATTCTTTTGTTCTTTAAAAAAAAACTAAACAATCCTGCAGAAAAATCCTTTCAGTTGTGATTTTCTGCTACGGAACTCGCGAGGGATTTATTTTTTTTATTTTGTGTTCCCATGCAAAAGTTTGTTTTGTATTAAATGAATTAAACCCATAGACTTGAATAAATCAGACTTTTATTTTGAAATATCCGGTTACCAAAACAGGACGTTTCCCATCAAGTTCGGGACATTTGGTGTCTGCACAGATCAAACATCTGCATATTAAATATCTTCATCAAGTGTGTTTCTGTGATACATTTATTCCAAAGATGAAATATTCGGCTCGGTGAGCATGTGAATAAACCTGCAACCACAACTGTACGAAACAGCTTTTTGCG